TTGAAATACCTTAATTGAATAATTACTCTGATAGGAACACTTCCACTGGCCAGTGAGTTATAACGTGGCCAGGTCTAAGATGAATGCCACTGGCTCCCCCGGGAAACTTCTAGTTGTTGGACAATGCCTGGGAAACCTCTAGACAACAGCCCATTTTGACCACCCATTCCTAGTTGTGTGAACCAGTTCCTTCCTGACAGGCTTTTCTTCTTTTTTAAGAGACAGAGGAAGGAAAGAGGGAAACATTGATGGGAAAGAATGAAACATCATTGGTTGCCTCCTGCATGCCCCCTACCTGAGATGGAGCCAGCAACCTAGGCATGTGCCCTGACTGGGAATCGAACCGGCAACCTTTCAGTGCACAGAATGGCACCCAACCAACTGAGCCACACCAGCCAGGGCCTAACAGGCTTTTCATGCACCCGGTGAAGCTGCCCTGTCATGTATTCATGCATTTTTGTATGTATACTGTGTATCTAGCTATCTCCTTTTAGCCAAGAGTCCCACAACAATCACCACAATATGTCAGCCACTGATCTCTGTCATTTGAAGTGAGCCTTGGAGAGGGGCTTGGAACCAAAAACTATATGTATGTCCATAACAATTGCTGACTTTAGCCAGAAGAGGTTATCTTACATTTCCGGCATTTTTAGGATTCCAGCTAAAGATTCTACTATCATGAACCATACTGCCCAGATCCACCCAATGTGATATAATTCCTTAGTTTTACCGTCAAGGAAATAACTAAGATTCCGTATTGCAAGGCACAGCTAATGGCAGAGAACATGTCTGTATTCCATTCCGAAGGATTTGGAGTTGCACAGTCTTTGGACGCAGCCATTCTTGAGGAATCCATACCCAGTGCCTTCCCCAGCTCAGATGCACCTCTGAAATGATTGTCAGGTGTTCATTCCACAATGTGCATTTCTTTTGCAGGAACACCCAGCTTTCATCTTGCCAAGGGTGGTTATGATAGAACTAGTGGCCCAGTGCACGGATTCGTGCACATTGAAAGGAAATTAATTAGAAGGTGGCCAGTGGGGTGGGACTGGGCGGGACGGGCTGGACATGCTCTGGAGCCAACCTCCTGTGGTCCCTCCCTGGCTGGCCACACGTGGCTCGAAAGGCGTTTGCTGAGTGAGTGGGGTCCATCTGGCAGGTGGGGGTGCCTCAACCTGGCCTGTGGGGATCGGGCTGAAACCAGCTCTCTGACATCCCCCGAGGGGTCCCAGAGTGCGAGAGGGCACTCTGCAAAGTTGCTATCATACAGGGTGTGGAACGCAAACACAAGTGTGCAGTAAGCCAGATTCAGGGTTGACAGTGCCCCAGTAAAAACATAACCCACAGCCAAAGGTGGAATCACACTGCTCCATCCTCTCTGGTTTTGGGGTGTGTCACCCAAGACCCGCCACTGCCAAGTCACTGCAGTGCAGCAGCTCCTGCGTTGAACATCTGCCCCCTGGTGGTCAGTGTGCATCATAGCAACCGTTCGGGCAGGTGGAGGGACACTTAGCATATTAGCCTTTTATATATATAGATGCACCTCTTTAGTGACTGTGGCATTCTGAATGGCAGACTCACTGGCTAGGGTCTTGAACCAGCTATTAAAAACTCCCAAGCAGTTGCCAGCAGAGAGCCTCATCTATTTACTATTTCACTTTTGGATTAGGAAAAAAATAGCTCCACTTAAATTGTAACCATTTAGGTAAACTTATTATTTTGCAAGTTTCTGGAAACTCATTTTACTTAAAATATATCTGGATGTGTAGTGACTTGCAAAGTTTTCATTTTTTCTTTTTTCTCCCTGGGAGGAGCTGGGGAAGGTTTTATGGAAGAACTGGCGTTCGAACTGAACCTTCAAGAGTCGAGAGCAAGTGCAAAAGGGAAAAAGTGAGTCCCTCCCTGGCAGAAAGCCCAGCAGGAGTCGCAGGGCACATGGGGTGTTTGGGGGAATGGCAGTTCTCTGTGTCCAGAGCAAGGCAGACAGGCTGCAGAGGTGGTTCAAGGCCAGACTAGCAGTGCCTCTGTTTTGGACAGCTCTCTTGGGTTGTAAGAGACAAAAGACACAATCCCAAGAGGTTTAAATGGACAGAAAATCTACTGACTTAAAAAACTGAAAAATTCAGTTTATCGGCGTCAGCTAAAGCTGGATCTAGGGGCTCAATGATGCCACTTGGTCTCCCATCTCTCTGCGTCTCCCTGTGGTGGCCTCACTCTGGAACAGACCCTTCCAAATGGAGGCAGCCCAGGCTGATACCTTCCCAATTCTGAGGCCAGTGGAAAGAAAGATTCATTTCTCCCCCAAAGTTTTCATTTTTGTAATAATATTCACTGTACAACTGCTACATTGTGCAATACACACACGGCACATTTTATAACTTTTTACTGGAAAAGAGGACTTAAAAGTCTCCCTTTGATTGATTAGCAGTGATGAAAACAAACTGTTTAACTAATTATACAAGATTAATTAATAAAATTAGAGACTTTTAAAGGGAAAAATTATCTCCTAAATTATATTTTAAAAGAAATGTGTTTAATTTTTGCTGTTACTTCCACACTTGGTATTTTGTGTTTGTTTTCCTTATTTGTGAATGTGTGTCTTTATAGACTAAATTATTTTCATTAAGAATTATGGCCAGCCCAGCCGGTGTGGCTCAATGGCTGAGTGTTGACCTATGAACCAGGAGGTCACGATTTGATTCTCTGTCAGGGCACATGCCCGGATTTCGGGCTCGATCCCCAGTGAGGGGTGTACAGGAGGCAGCCGATCAATGATTCTCATCATTGATGTTTCTATCTCTCTCTCCCTCTCCCTTCCTCTCTCTGAAATCAATTAAAACATATATTTTTTAAAAAGAATTATGGCCAGCCCTAACCGGTTTGGCTCGGCGGATAGAGCGTCGGCCGGCGGACTGAAGGGTCCCAGGTTCGATTCCGGTCAAAGGCATGTACCTGGGTTGCAGGCACATCCCCAGTAGGGGGGGTGCAGGAGGCAGCTGATCGATGTTTCTCTCTCATCAATGTTTCTAACTCTCTATCCCTCTCCCTTCCTCTCTCTGCAATCAATTAAAACATATATTTTTTAAAAAGAATTATGGCCAGTCCAGCCGGTGTGGCTCAATGGCTGAGTGTTGACCTATGAACCAGGAGGTCACGATTTGATTCTCTGTCAGGGCACATGCCCGGATTTCGGGCTCGATCCCCAGTGAGGGGTGTACGGGAGGCAGCCGATCAATGATTCTCATCATTGATGTTTCTATCTCTCTCTCCCTCTCCCTTCCTCTCTCTGCAATCAATTAAAACATATATTTTTTAAAAAGAATTATGGCCAGTCCAGCCGGTGTGGCTCAATGGCTGAGTGTTGACCTATGAACCAGGAGGTCACGATTTGATTCTCTGTCAGGGCACATGCCCGGATTTCGGGCTCGATCCCCAGTGAGGGGTGTACGGGAGGCAGCCGATCAATGATTCTCATCATTGATGTTTCTATCTCTCTCTCCCTCTCCCTTCCTCTCTCTGCAATCAATTAAAACATATATTTTTTAAAAAGAATTATGGCCAGTCCAGCCGGTGTGGCTCAATGGCTGAGTGTTGACCTATGAACCAGGAGGTCACGATTTGATTCTCTGTCAGGGCACATGCCCGGATTTCGGGCTCGATCCCCAGTGAGGGGTGTACGGGAGGCAGCCGATCAATGATTCTCATCATTGATGTTTCTATCTCTCTCTCCCTCTCCCTTCCTCTCTCTGCAATCAATTAAAACATATATTTTTTAAAAAGAATTATGGCCAGTCCAGCCGGTGTGGCTCAATGGCTGAGTGTTGACCTATGAACCAGGAGGTCACGATTTGATTCTCTGTCAGGGCACATGCCCGGATTTCGGGCTCGATCCCCAGTGAGGGGTGTACGGGAGGCAGCCGATCAATGATTCTCATCATTGATGTTTCTATCTCTCTCTCCCTCTCCCTTCCTCTCTCTGCAATCAATTAAAACATATATTTTTTAAAAAGAATTATGGCCAGTCCAGCCGGTGTGGCTCAATGGCTGAGTGTTGACCTATGAACCAGGAGGTCACGATTTGATTCTCTGTCAGGGCACATGCCCGGATTTCGGGCTCGATCCCCAGTGAGGGGTGTACAGGAGGCAGCCGATCAATGATTCTCATCATTGATGTTTCTATCTCTCTCTCCCTCTCCCTTCCTCTCTCTGAAATCAATTAAAACATATATTTTTTAAAAAGAATTATGGCCAGCCCTAACCGGTTTGGCTCAGCGGATAGAGCGTCGGCCTGCGGACTGAAGGGTCCCAGGTTCGATTCCGGTCAAAGGCATGTACCTGGGTTGCAGGCACATCCCCAGTAGGGGGGGTGCAGGAGGCAGCTGATCGATGTTTCTCTCTCATCAATGTTTCAATGTTTCTAACTCTCTATCCCTATCCCTCTCCCTTCCTTTCTGTAAAAAATCAATAAAACATATTAAAAAAAAGAATTATGACCAGAGTTAGAGCTTGGGACCAGTGAGAAAGTACAGTCTATTTCTCTAATGCCTGCTTGTGAACCGCGCTATTTTGCTGAAATGTCTTCAGAAAGTTCTATTAAAGAGTAGCCTATGTATTATACCTAATATATTTTCAGTAACTATTTGTTAAATGCATGACAGACACAACTAAAGCTGAAGCTGTTATTTGGAAATGATGTTGTTGAAGTGTCAATAAGGACATTTAAAGTTATAAATGGTGATAAACGATCTTAATGTAAATTACTATCTTACTGAAATTCAGTACAGTAAGTAGCTCTATAAAGGGAACAATAAAGGTATAGTCATCACAGCTACATGCTTTCCTTAAATGTTCAGGAGAAGGGGCAAAAAAGAGAACTAACATTTTTGGATATTTATATACACCACAAACTAATCCAGGAACTTCATTAATCTCACTTAATCCTTACAGCAAAGTAGATTACATATAAAGAAAATGAGGTTCAGAGAAGTTTGGAAACTCACACAGCGTTCAATGCAGATTGCACCCGGGCCTGCCTGGTTCCACGGCAATCCCCGCTGCAGTGTCTCCTGTACATGGATTTGGAACCATCATCAAATAGTTCTGGTAGCTCTGGGCGGGAAAGGGTAGAAAAATGTTCGAAAGTCATTCTTATGACCAGTTTGCTTCCTGGTTCCTAACCAACCAAGGGGATTATGTGAGGCCCCTTTGTACACAGTCCAGTCTCCATATCAACGAGCACAGCAGAATCAAAAATCTTTCCAAAGACTTTGTCCTGCAGGCTTACTATGGCCTGCTGCTCAGGGGAAGTGGAGACTATTAGGACCCTGGCACCATTATTTTCCCTGAGTAGCAATCCTTCTTTTAAAGCCAGCTGCTGGTCAAACATCTTCCTGAAGATACGTAACACTTATTGACTGATCTCACCTCCTTTTGTTCCAGCCTAAGGCTGAATTTCCAATTACATACGGCAGGAGAAAGGAAACTCTACAAAGCTTAGTAGTTAAGGGCACAAATGTCAGAGTCAGACAACCTTGGATTATGAATCCTGGCACTGCCTCATACAAACATAGTTATTCCATCTCTCTGGGCCTTCATTTCCTTTTCTGTAAAATTGGGTATAATAATAGTATCTCAATCACAGAGATTTTGTAAGGATTAAATGAAACACCTCTTAAGCATTTACAATGCTTGGCACATTAAAAATACTTAATAAGCCCTAACTGGTTTGGCTCAGTGGATAGAGCGTCGGTCTGCAGACTCAAGGGTCCCAGGTTCCATTCCGGTCAAGGGCATGTCCCTTGGTTGCGGGCACATCCCCAGTAGGGGGGGTGCAGGAGGCAGCTGATCGATGTTTCTCTCTCATCAATGTTTCTAACTCTCTATCCCTCTCCCTTCCTCTCTGTAAAAAATCAATAAAATAAAAAACTTAATACGTGGCAATTCTTATGGATGTTCATGTTGAATAGTGACTAAGTTATGTTCTTTCTACAAGCAACTGCAAATGATCTTCAAGGCTGTGAGCTCAGAAAACCTAGGCGGCCTTCATGAAGGGCTCTGCAACCAAAGGCAAGATTTGTGATTCTAAGGAGGAAACAGAACTCATTAACAGAATTCCTTTAGAGCTAAATTCCCATTTGATAGGGAGTGATGGCTGTTTATCTGTTTAAGTCTGACCAAGATTTTCGATATTTCAAAATCACACTTGGTATTTATTCAGTAACTTCCCCCAAAGAAGCTCAAAACCAGTTTGCCACCAAAAGAAATCGAAGAACCCTGAGACCCGGAAGTAATGCCCGTGATGGGCAGCCGGAATCCAGGGAAGGCCAGGCCTGGCACCGCGCCGCACGGGACTGCGGTGGAAATGGGATCCTTTTGTGATGTCTTAAGAGTGTTTTGTTCCTCTGGCTTCCGAGAAGGGTGGACAGCAGCGCTGCAGGAAGAGAGGGAGGCCTGGCAACTGTCTGCACAAGAAATAAGGAGGCTACAGATTCTCGCTGAGGTACGGGCGAGGTAAGGGTGGCAGGAAGACAGGTCCGCAGACGGAGCTGACAGCTCCCAGACAGGAAACGCAGCTCCGGGCTGGCATCGGTGAGGCCGCGTTTCCGCCCCGAGGCTTGTGAGGTGTCACACCACCCAGCAACCGCCTCCCAGAATCACGAGTGTTGGGTTCTTTCCGAACACACAGGCTCTTTCAGTAACACATAACCCAACCGACAGAAGGATGGGCATGGAGGGCGCACGGCACCCCTAGGACCGGTGGGGGCCTCGGGTCTACGGTCTTCAAAGGCCGCAGTCCCACTCACCCGCAAGCGTTCCTCGCCCCGGATGTCGCCCCGCCCCGCGGCGCGCGAGCGTGTCGTCACTTGCGGTCGGCCAATCAGGGCGCGCGACCAAAATAGCCCCTTATAAATCCTTG